CCTACTAAATGCTAGAGGTTAAGATCAATATGTGGAATTTCAAGTTGAGTAAAAAGAAGAGTTTTGAATTTCTAATGGTGGGGGTACCTTTTCTAATTTTCTAAGACTAGTCAATAGGAAAGTCCTATGGCTAGACCTAGGCTATTAAAGAAGTTTCTAGACCTCAACCAAAAGTGAGGTCAACAATACCCTAACTCAGTCGCCTCTACCTTTTAGAGATCACTTCTCCTTCCTTTAACTACCTCTATTGAGCTCTATCACTTCCTTTGCCTTTGTTGGTTTTTTCCTTGAAGGTCTAATATCTAATAAGTTACCACCCGTTTGGGATACGGCGATTTGTCCTATGCTCTTCTGGCCTAGATTTGCTTTGATGTATCGAAATTCCCCGTCGGGATGATTTGGTTATTTCATAGGCTCTATATACCAGTGAGTCTGCTACCCATGCAAGACCGTAAGAGACTCACTCTCTGCCAACCTAATGACATAACAGAAGCTTTGAAAACATCAAAGCATTTCCGTACGAAATAATTGTTTTTTGATAGCCTCTAATTATCAATTTAAATATAAGCAAAACTCATTGGATCAAGAATATTCTTAAGCAACCCCCAATACATAATTAATTAATCCCCTTAGAAGCACTCTAGACGCCATAACAGACAAACATACCTGAATCTCTGGTTGTGGATAGTCTACGTATGTATTCTTTTGTGAATATTATTCTTAAAGTGTTTTCTTCTGATTTGTTTAAGCAGACTTACTTAACATATCCCAATGAGGTTTATCACAAGTAGGTTCTCCACAATCTTTCTCGTATTTGTCATCTTTATTGCATGTTCGTCTTTTATGGTTCCTCTCTTCTCCTGATCAATCACATGATCCAGAAGAGAGACTTACTCAAAAAAGGAAAGTATATGATGATGGACAAACTGATAACTCTATTAAAAAAAAAGAGAGAGAAAAGAACAAAAACATCTTGATACAAACATGAAGTGATTTAACAAAGCCATGATATTGTTCCAACTATGAATTATGGATATTTAAGTATCCTTCCACTTGAGAAGTTAGCAATAATTAATTATTTCAGGAGATATCAAGCAAAGCCCATATTTCAAAACATTTTTTTTTTAGGAAAAATAAGCAATACTCTAGCTCCAACTTTGGAACTCCTAAAGGCTTCATAGACGTACAAAGTTCATTGGGAAGATTATGAGGGAGAACTTATTTGTTAATAACATTATCTTTAATGTCAAAAACTCATTAATTGTGGTCATGTTTATGATGTTGATGTGAGTGTCCACTCAAAGTTATAGTGAAAGTTATCCTAAGCCTAGAATTAGCTCTCACAAACGATGTATAAATAAAATGCAGAAAGACTACCCCGCCATAATTGTGTCTAGAACATTGACAAGAACAACCTTTCAAGATTATAATGAAGGTTGCCCCCAAGCCTGGAATTTGTTCACATAGATTGGATTTATAAATGAATTGAAGGAAGACTACCCAACCAAAATTGTGCCTAGGGTGTTGACGTGAACAAACTTTTGAGATTATAGCAAAGGTTGTCCCCCCTCATCGAAGAATGCTTTAGAAATAATCTTCAGAGACTCTCCCTCACTTTGATGAATTCAAGAAAGGATAGAGGAGTCATTGATAATCCTTCTATTTGTAAATAAATCACTCCACAATTAATTTAGCAAGCTCATCTTATGTATGAATGATCTCTCACATGAATGAATAAAACCAATTAATTTTTAAGAGTGGTAGGAATAACTTGATAAAGTAGTGCATTTGAACCTCATTGTATATGCATGATGGTTCAATAATGATCAATGTGCTCATATGGGACAGACGTCCCATCATATAAATCAATGTTAGGAAGCTTGAACCCTATGGGAATAGGGTGTTGAATGAAGATCTCAGCCAAAGGAGAAGACTTTAGAGACTATGCCAAGCAGAAAAGGTTTTCTAGAAGGAACTCTATTGCACTAGACGTCATAACTTACCATGGATTACATGAGATCGAGTTAAGCTCTTCAATTCTTCATATGCATTAGAGGTTTGCTAGTATGCTTGGCTACAGGGATAGATGTGTAGAGCTAATAGTGTCCAAGATGTCAACTTTTGAGGAGAAACTTTAGTGTATGGAGAGGGTGTTAAATGTGTACCTCCAATCAGTGAATTTTAAGGAAACTGCACCTCTCCAGTACGCAATCAGTCGATTATCGAGCCTCACATGAAATTTGAAGTATCTTATTTTGAAATTTCTCCATTCTTCATATGAAGTCTTCACATGGTGCAAAGTAGGTTCTTTCACCAATTATGTGCTTTACATTAGTAGAAATGAAGCAAAAGCTTTGCCCCAAACTTTGAAACTTCACCTTGAAATGACAGGTGTTAGAGTGATAAGTTTATGTATTGGATTTGTTAGTCATTGAAGAAGTGTATACTTCTATAGTTGAATGTGACTTTTTCCAACAGATGATGCCAAATTTTTGTGTGCTAGAAAATTCACGAAGATCCAATGCACACACAAATAAAAAATATATATATAGCGTGATGAGACACCGTTATTTTTATGTGGAAAACTCTAGAAGGAAAAAAAAATCACGGAGCATAGTCCAGTCGAAGTAAACCACTATGTAATTGTGAGTACATTAGTTTATTCTTCTTATAAATTAGAAAATGTGGATTTACAAAGTTGATAACCACATATGTATAATAGCATTTTAATTATAATAGTCATAATTGAGCTACAACAAATGTATTTCCTAGCTACAATAGCAATAGCTGGCCCCAATGGTCGTAGTTGGTTGCTGCAAAGACATTAGTTGATAATAAATGATGCATTTTGGTCGCTTTAATAGTAACAATTGAACGCAAAAGTTGTAATTATATGTTATAACAATAGTAGTTGACCAAAAGGGTCGTAGTTGGTTGATATAAATGTAGCAGTTGGTCATAAAGGTTATAGTCGATTGCTGCAATAGTGTCAGTTGGTCACAGAGGCCATAGTTGAAAGTTGCAACAGTAGTTGTTAATCACAAATACCATAGTTAGTTGCTAAAAACACAATAGTTGGTCTTAAAGATGGTAGTCAGTTGTTGCAACAACAACAACTGGTAATGGGTGCATAGTTGGAAGATATAACAATAGTAGTTGGTCACGGAAGTTATAGTTGTGTATTACAAAAAAACAACAGTTGGTCATAAAGGCCGTATTCGATGGTAGTTGGCTATAAAGGTCATAGTTTGTGATTAAAATTTTACACCAAAAAATATATTTGTCTTCATACAAAATAAAGAAAATACAAGTTTTAGACACAATAGTCTATTTAAACTACAATGATTGCAAGCAGGGTTGGCCGACAGCCATTGATCGGCAATGACAGGCGAGGACGGTAGGAGGTGGTTGACGTGGTCGACGGACGGTGATCGACGGTGGTCGGCAACTTTGGAGACCAATGATTATTCATTAAAAAAAAAAACCAATGATTATTCAAGCATATATATATTGGAGGATTATTTATTAAAAAAAACACAAAGATTCATGCTCGATAAAAATTTGTCGATGAGACATCAATATATATGTGGTGATAAAAGCAGGACTTAAAGTGTGGGATGCCAAAACTAAAAATTACGTGGCTGCGAATATTTAAGTTTAAATTTCCTCTCCTTAAAAAAAATTTGAAAAGTGTTATAACTATTATCATTAAACTAAAATTTTAATCAATATTAAACTATTATTAAATAACTAAAATTATGACGCAAACTTTTCAATGTAATACATGATATTAAAAAATTTTCAATATTGCTCCATAAATGTGTTATCCGTTTTCGTAGGGATCGAACCCGAGTAAGGGTCTTACAACTAACAACGCAACTATCTTCTAACTTACCGCCTAAGGGCACACATAACTTTAAAAGATCTAATTATAAGATGTTAAAGCATACTTTATGCAAATCTTTTGACATACTGTTTTTTTTTCAAATTATCTTTTTTTTTTCTTTTTAATTCAGCATTAACTTCGTATAAATTAGTTACTATTTTATTTTTTTTATTATGCATTTTTAACCTACTAACATATACTGCCCACAAAAATTACATAATAACTTCTAATCATTTCTTAACCTATCATTTATAATCTTGTCAGATATTTATCTTAGAAGTTCTTATTTGAATAGTGTCAAAATAGTCCTCTTACCATTTACATAAGATTATTTTACCCCTAGGCATATAAAAATGTCAAATTAATCAACATATACTAAAATAATCCCTAAAAAAGACATTTTTGGCCCACATGAGAAGCTGTCTTTGGACTAAATTTAACACTTCTATAAACTCCTTTCAACACTTTTTACATTCTTATTAATATCATAATTAACTTAGATATCTATCAATGACTTCTTTTAATGCCGCCCTCCATAATCATACATGTCATACCAACCCATTTTATAAAACTTACAAAATTTAACTTTCAAAGTAATCATGAAACCAATACCATTAACTCATTCTTAAGCGACACTAAGGACATGTTTGGCATAAATTTTGTTTTATGCTTTTAATTTGCTTTTACTTTTATTTATAGTATAAATTTTGTATGTTTCTAATTGTATATTTCAACATAAATCATCTTATTGTTAAAAATATTCAAAACACCAAAATAATGCTTTCAATATTTTTAAAAATAATTATCATAACCAAACATTCTTCATCTAAAATTTTAAAAAAAACACACAAAAATAGGGGAAAAAAACAAGGATCTAAACTTTAGGTCTTGTACAACAAATCAAAGCTTGAATTTTTTTAGGGGCATTTACATACATGCAGCATGATAGTCATGTATTCACATATCTAACACCTAAACATTCATATTTAGGTCCATACCACCAAAACCTTTAACACTATCCTTTTAAAAATGAAATCCATCTTTTTATGCATAGGTGTATGACAAAAATGTGTTACAGGTCAAAATATCACAAGTTGAGTGTTAAATACATAAATACATAAAAATTGTGCGGTACGCATGTAAAATTCCCAATTTTTTGAAACATCATTATGCTACTCAACAGACTAAACTGGTTTGTTTGATGCAATTATGAAAGTTCAGTTCCTTAAAGATAAAGAAATACAGATTGGCCACTGAAAAAACTGGGCACTTCCAGGAGAATTCTTAAACCAAAACTACATAAAAACATGCCTATCAACTGAAGTCAGCCTGAGCTCAGGCAGACAGAAAGCTGATATTCACACAAGTATATAAAAATCACTTTTCAGGGTTTAGTTATTTTAATTTACTTTCTGAAATCAACTACTTTGCAGGAGTCATAAAATTCCAAGGAGAGCTGCAGAGATCGATTGGGGAATTACCATCATTATCCTTTATTTCAGTATCAGCGCCATTTTTTACTAGCAACTCTGCAAAATCCTCTCTCTCACAGATGACAGCATAATGTAGAGAGGTCTGGCCTTCATTGTCCTAATCAAATAAAATGAAGATTTACATACATACCACTTAATTGCTTACGTATTTACATATCAAACGTCTTAACTTCAAGTTTTACATATGTGCCATCTTACTTATGCATGATAAAATAAGTTAGGGGTGTGAAAATGTATAAAGTAAATTTTAGGTGTTAGATAAGCAAATGCATGAGAATTAGGTGGTATGTATGTAGAAATGAGAATGTTTTGGTCGATTTGGTACTCTCAATGCGGAAAAAAGGGGATTTTAAAAGGCTGGAACCGACATTCAATGATTTAATAAGAATAGAATTTCAGTATAACCATCAGAATAACAGATGTAAAATGAAGATTTTATGAAAGTCTACTACTTGGTTTATGTCAGTAATGGTGTTTACCTTAGCATTCACATCTGCGCTTTTGCTGAGAAGTATCTCAACGATCTTTAGATGTCCACGATCTACAGCCCAATGCAATGGGGTTCTACCTTCGCTATCTGCATTCAGGATTATAGGTGAAAAAAAATGAGGAAGATTTACATGCATAACACTCAATTCCTATGTAATTACATATCTACTACCTAAACATCAATTTTTACATACATATACCACCTTAGCTATGCATGAAAATGTGTAGAAGTTAAAATGGAGGTATTTTTTATGTGATGTGAAAGATTTGGGTGGTATGAATGTAAAAAGTAAATTTTAGGTGTTTGAAATGTAAATTCATGGGAATTGAGTAAATACCCCTAAAAATAATAAATTAAAAAAGGAGTGATGCATAGAAATAGGACAAAGGGGAAAGAGGGGCAGTGAAGTATCAACAAGAAGTTCATTGAGTCCTTGCACATTTTCAGAATATGAAAGAATTTCAAATTGAAGTGGCAATTCAAACCAGAAAAAGTTTGAAAAATAAAAGATGATATTAAAATGTTCTAAATTCTAAATGAGTAACAATTCCAGGATAGCTTGTAAAGCTATTTCGAAATCTGAAAGTGTTTGATTTCCCGTATGTTCAATGAAACAATAGGAATCATTCATGTAGGGATAGCATGCGGATCATCAACTAATTATCATCATCATCATAAAGCCATTCCAATTATGTGAAATCAGTTATGAAAATCATTTTTTCATTCGTTATCATTAATTACTGCAGCAGGAGTTAAAATTAGTCTATGCAAATCAGTTTTCAAATGAGAAGAAACGAATTGAATTGTATGTGCTACTCTATTTAAGCCGCAGAAATTTAGGTTACACTTGATAGGTTATACATATGAAAAACTACTAATTACAGTGGAATTAATGAATATATTGTACAACTTGCACATATTTATTTCCTTGAAATTTTGAGAGGTATTACTTAAAGAGACCGCAATGATGAACCGCCAACTTGTCCGCAATGATGGACTGGCAACTTTGCAATTTCATGGAGAGCCAAGATGGCCTAGAACATCACCAATCTACTCAATTTGTTGAGGTAATTATTCTCCATGCTTAATTTAGATGTGATATTTTGAAAATGTAGTGCTAAAAAATCATTTGTTTAGGATATCGAATAGCTACATGTACGAAAAACACAAGTCCTTTGTAGTTCAAGTTTAGAACTGGAGAGTCAAAAGGGTTGAATTCAACACACCCAAATATAATCAAGTTACTGATAGCTCCTCTTACTTTACACGCCATAGGAACGACTACATTAAGAGATTCCCTCTTCATTAGTAGGATGACAAAAACTATCAAATGCCTTAATATTGTGTTTCTTCATTGAGGTACTAATTAGAAAAAAGTTCTACAAAATCCCATAATTATTGGATTCCAAGCAAGACGTAATAACTCTCCTAATGATTTTGGCATTATGGACTGACAAGTATTGGAATATCAAAGATAGAAATTACTCGGCTCTAATTTATGTTATATTGATTCAATGTATTTTTGTCTTCCATTTTATAATGGTGATCATGTGCTAACACTAGTCTATTCTTAAAAATAATAATAATAATCATACTAGCATAGGGGCACTGCAGTACTCCTAAAATGACATCAAATCATGTTTTCTACAATAAAGCAAGGCTTTACGCTCAAAGTAACCAAAAAGTTAGGTGTATTATTTCCGAAAATATTGGTGTTAGCAAAAGAAATTTTCAAATGAATAGAACAATGTATCATCTGTAACCAACGACGAAGCTGGTAAAATTTACAGATTTTTTTCACATATAACCATCATCAGCCATATTCAGGCGTCAATTCTCATAGCCTTAAATAAATTAAATAAGCGTACACCTACAGCTGGGACATATCTAACCTCTCAGATCCACTGAAACACCATTTTCGATGTTCTTCAATAAGCTATCAACTTCTCCTTCTCGAGCCGAATCATGAATTGCATCTAGCCTCCTGTATGCATTTAAAAAAAATTAAAATCAGTTATTTTTCACTTTTGAATAAACAGCTCTATATCCAACCAAGGATTACGTACAGTACATCAAACCTAATAGCATTCACTGTTATACAAATAACCAGTAAACCAAAACAATTGCCCTGTACTTATACGAGCAAAATTTACAATGGTTTTGTATTTAACTGGTCATATCATTTCTGAATTGTATTGGAAGTACGATAAAAATAATAGATGAAAATCAGATTTGCAAAGCATGGCCCCAAAACGATCAAGCAAAAGCACTAAAATTAAGAGTCTAAGACGTACATTTCTTAAGAATATGACAAAACCAGAAAATAAAGTTCCGCAGCTCCCACTGCACTGCTAGTGCACAGAGAGTATGAGAAAAAGTTGGCTACTTCGAAGAAACTTACAGATCATTTTCTGATCCCTCCTCAAGGATTAAACTGCTGAAAACTGGCCCCATTGTTCCTTGTGTGGCCGAACTAGAGGAGGAAGCATCTTCATGTTCATTTTTCTATACAACAGAGCATTATTGAGAGTAGAATGCTAGTATAAGGTATAGAAGGATAACAATAGTTAAGAAATTTAAATCAGATGAAAAATTTTAAAGCTTGCCTTAGCTAGACCACTTGACCAAGAAGGAAAAAGCATCTCCACAGTCTCAATATATTTTTGCATTGCTTCTTCTGGAGGCATTGCGCCTAGTTTTTGCCAAGCATTCCTTGTACATCACAACAGTTTTTGTAACATCTGATTTCCAGTTAAGACAACACAAATGATGCTAGAAAAATAAGGCGTTATGAAGCCCCAAAAGGCACAGGAAAAAGGTAAAGGGGTTTCAACTATCTTGAACATGGAGTTTAAGACTGCAATTATACTATAATTAATATGGACCAAATAATCAGCAACCAACAAGAAAAATGTTAGAATTTGTATTAACTTTGTTTTCAGTGCAAAAATTGGTAACAGATGGCCTTCTGCAATATGCTTTTGAGAAGAATTCTATAAACCGTAAACTAGAAACGGCAGCTATGCTCGAATCGCTGAAAGTCGCACAGTTCTGATAGAAAATAAATGTAATCCGACTATTTCAAGCCACCTCAAAAATAAATTTTCTCCACCTGAAAATTTGAAGTTTGCATGTGTGTGAGAGTATGAGTGTGCATATGAGATAAAAACATATCCCAAACTAGTAAGTAAGCTGAATAAAAAATTGATCACTACAACAACAACAAAGCCTTAATCCCACTACGTGGGGTCGGCTACATGAATCTTTTTTCTCTAGTGCGTCCTATTTAGTGTCATATTTTCATTTAGTTCTAGTAAATTAAGATCATTTAAAAAAAATGATCACTATTTAATTTTAAAATTTTAAAAATGTTTTCTATATAATTGTCTTGGAACTGACTCCCAAGTATAGCGACAACTCCTCACCCGTCTTCAGACTCTGAAGTAGAGGTGGCAATGCCAAAAAAGATCTACAGTTGTAGGAATACTTGCTCACACTCACTAGTCCAAGTGAAGCTTTTGGCATTTCTTACTACGTTTGAAGAAAGTTGCACATTTATCTCCAGATTTAGAAATAAAGCGACTGAGACCTGTGATCTGGTCCATCAGGTTCTGTATATGTTGTGACGGGGTGGCATATTTATGAGTGTCTGATCCTTTAAAGGACAGGACTTAATCCATCAGACGTCGGCAAATACCCTGGAAATTTTCATGTTCCAACTCCAAATATGCACTTTTGTGGGTTAAATTTCATATTATATTTCCTCAGTATATCAATAGTTGCTTTTAGATTTTGGGGTGATTAAATACAGGGCACCCAAAACATTGCTATTTACAAATAAAGCACCCTCAAATTCTCTCTCAAATATCAAATGTCATGATAAAACCCCAACCCATATTTTTCATTTTTATCAAATTCACAATGGTTTGATCGTGGAACGGTTAAATGCATCGATTTCATAGTTCAAAAAATCACCTCGGTGCTAGATTTGTAAATAGTAATGTTTTAGGCACCCTATATGCAATTATCTCTTAGATTTTTCATATGTTGTTTGAGTGGCCATGATAATACATGTTAACACAATGTAATTTAGCTTAGCTCAACCAAAACATGACATTTAGGTATACTCTTAAAGATCCACGAAGAAAGGTAAAATTTATGGGAATAACAAACACAATCAACTCAATATGCACACCATATTTGTTATGGGGCTACTTCTAATCATCTCCAAAGTGCCACAAGCACACCATCAAAAAAATAATATGCTTGGTCCTGTTATGATACACATGATTCTTGGCAAGATTTATAGTTGCTTACTGTCACAAAACATCAATATAGGCCTATTGGAGGTACATCATAATTCCCTTAACAAATTCTAAATCTAGATCCCTTTACAGATTCCCAAGGCGAGTGCCATATACTGTGATTATGGACTGCTTCCAGAAACAATTGCTTACTTCTTACTTCTTCATGTCACCAAATCTCCACATACATAGGAGCGATTACTTAGGATGGACCATCTGTGAGCGAGTTCCCCGTCCAACTACCATCAGAGTAGACTTTCACATATTTGTTCAAAATTTTCTCATAAATTAATTCATAATCATGAGTCTTCTTGAGAAACCTCATAATTTTTTACATAGTATCTTCAAGCACTCTTTATTAATTGCAACTGAAATAATAGATTAGCAGTGCAACAATCTTACATCCTTGACCGTGTTTTACGAACAGCGTATAATCAGCTTAACTTTGAGAATAATGCAGCATTCATTCCTTATTAGTTGCAACTGAAAGGAGAACTCTGATAGTACTAAGTTAAGCAATTGGTGTGAATGTCTCCTAATATTTGATCATATGGCTTGAATGAAACCTTTTGCAACAAGTCTGACTTTGAATCTCTCAATACCCCTCATTAGATTTATATTTGACGTTAAACACTCAATGACACCCAACCGGTTTCTTATCCTAATGGAGTTTAGTAAGAAATCATGAACCATTATGTTTCAGTGCTTGAATCTTCTCCTCAACAGCTTTCCTCCAGTTTAAATTTTCAAGTGCTTCATCAATGGATTTATAAATATGCATACTATCAAGTTAGAAATAAAAGTTTTAAAAGATGAAGATAGTTTCTCATAAGCTACATACTCCTGAATTGGGTATCTAATGCAGATTTTTTTGTTGCCAGCATCAGACGAGGAGGGTGATAACTCATGAGTACTAGGACTCCTCTTTACCTGAAATTTCATGTGCATGTGGACTCAGGTTTTGGTTTGAGTTATTCCATCCTTGCAACTTGTCATCCACCTACTCAAGATTTTTGTTTCTCCTTGTGTATAAACACAATTCTTTGTTCTAGACTTCAAGTTAAGTTTGCTTCGTTGGTTGGGCATCCTTAAATAGGATAAAAGGGTTGAGCATAGTAGGTGGTAAGACCTTGTAGATGTCATTAAGTGCATCCCAAAATTGATGTTCATTTGCATTCTTTCTCAAAACATTAGATTTAGGATAATAGAATCGATTTTAAAAAAATACGACAATCATGGAATTGTAAAATTTTCTGGTAACAGAATAATAACACTTATAGCCATTTTTGTTGGTGGCATACCCAAGAAAAACACGCTTGATAGTTTTAAGGTCAAATTTTATGTGATTTAGCGAATGTTCGTGAACAAAGGATACATACCAAAAGATTTTAAGTGAAATAGTAGAACAAAAAGCTCAGATGCGAGGATAAGTAACCATCAAAATATAAAGAGGTGTTTTAAAGTTAAGTACTTGGCTAGACATTCGATTGATAAGGAATGTTGTGGTAAGAATTATTTCCCACCCAAACTATTTAGGAAATTGATGAGACGTCATAATTGAGTAGGATATCTCAAGAAGTTGTTTGTTCTTTCTCTTTGTTATCTCATTTTGTTACGAGGTATCAATACATGAACACACATGGATGCTCATTTTTTGAAAGAGGTGACCTAAGAATAAAGTTGAAACATTCATTTGCATTACAAGTTTTAAGGACCAAAATTTTGCATTGAAATTGAATTTGTATTATGACATAGAAGATTTGAAAGATTTGGATTGTTTCAGATTTTTCCTTATTGGGAATACTCAAGTGGTTCTAGTATGATCGTCAATAAATGAGATAAAACATATGACCCCACATAGGATTTTCACCTTTGAAAGTCCCCGAATATCATTATGGATAATGGCAAAAGAGTGTGAGGGTTTGTATTGAATAAGAGGATAACTATTTTACTGTGTTTGAGAAGTTAACAAATCTCACATTGATAAAAACTAGATTTTTTTGTATTGATAAATAAATGAAGATACATATTAGCTACATAATTAAAATTGAAATGACCCAGGCAATAATATCATAACCAGACCTGATTTTCGACAAACATGGACTCAACAAAAATAAATGTGGGACCATTTGTGTGTTTAGAGCAAAACATTTCATGAGCATATATAAATCTTGGTGCATTTCAACACTGTCAATCATCTTCACCAAATACATCATCTGAATATCACAAAAGTTAGAATGAAATTTAGCAACATAATTTAGGTCATGAGTAAGCTTGTTAATTGAAAATAAGTTGTAATCTAGTCGGGAAACATATAGCCCTAAAGAAAGTTGAATATCTTTAGGGGCTTTCACATCTCCTTTCCCAACAATCTTTGAGAAGTCTAACAAATTTGAGGTCGATGATCTCTTGATAGTTGATGAGAGCATGAATGTCCCCAATCATGTGATTAGAAGCATTTGAATCTATTACTCAAGGTCAAAATCTTCTATTGTTGACAAGATAGGAGAATATGATATCTTAGTGTATTACTAAGCTAGTGGACTTCAAAGTACAACTAGAAATATTCATTTTGTACTTGGTCGTGGTCCCTACGTGTTTTTGGGCTTGTTACTGGTTGTAGGATGGGATTTGTTTCTGCAAATATAAGATAGGTTGCTGCTAGAAAGGAGAGAAAAACAGCACGTGTTGAATTAGTTACTTCAAGCCAAGAAAGGGTACGCTTTCTGATGTTGCTCTGTTGTTGCTTGTTGTTCCTTGCGTTATTGTTGTTGTTAGCTATTGTTGTTGTAGGGAGAGTAGGAGCGGAGGAATACAGGAGGGCTGGCTAAGAGCTTCAGCCTAAGGAGGGCCTACAACAGGGAATTCCAGCTACAGAGAAGAACAACGGAGGGATTTCTGCTACAAAGAAGAGTCGAGGAAGGGGCTTATGGGGAGGAATTATAGCTACTTACAGGGAATAGTTCTAGTTGTTGAAGGGAAGAACCAAAGTGGGGAGAGTTCCGGAGTAGAAAGAGTCGTGTCGGGTCTGCTGACAAATGAGAGTTGCTACAGAGTCAGCAGGATAAAGCTTTCACAGGGATAGCAGAAGATCAGCGGAGAAGGTTTGCAGCTTCTAGGATGGTAAAGAATATGTGGCTGAGAGGCTCCAACCAACAACGAAAACTTAATGTTCACCGAAAACGTTGGCTCTGATCAAATTGTTAAGGTCGTTAGTCGTTGGATGAGAAAGTCTCGTAGAGAGTTGCGATTAGGAAAAGATAACAGTGGTAGAGTGGATCTCGCTGAACGGGAAAGGATCCTGGGGATCTACAGCTAAGAAAGGAAGATAGCGGCAGAGGGATCTAGGAGAAATTGAGAGCAGGAGCAGGAAGGGCTGGCAGGATGAATGACGACTGCAAGGAGGAT